CAATTTCCTTGCTCAAAGTTTGCTGGTTTTATGGGACTTCCAAACGCACCTATAAATATAGTTGTATTGTCATTTGCATCAGGGATATAAGGCCTGGTCCTATGTGGATTCAACATTATCAATGTCTCTCAAAAGGGTATTTAACCGAACGATAAAGTGCTAAAAGTTAAGAGTTTTGCTAGTTAGGCAGTGTTTGTTAGCTATCTAGGCAGTGTTCCCTATAATCTGTGATTATGGAGAGAATAATAGAAATAGTAATAAGGATAATAACGACAACAATAAGGATAACGACAATAATAACAACAACAACAGTAATAACGATAATAATAGTTAATAATTATAAGAAAAGCGAGAGTAGGAAATATAATAGTTACTTTAGTAATAGGCTACAGATTATATATATATATAGAGACACTATCCAGATAACTAAATAACACTGCCCGACTAGCAATACTTAAAGTTAATTCTATAGGCTTGAAGTTGAGGCGGCACTGCCTGAACCCAAGATTAAAGAAATACTACTATAAGCGCTGTGTAGCGGAAATAGCCCTGCATCAAAAGAGCGCAACTTAATCATCTTAAACAAGTCATTCTTAATATTAGAGTCTTTTCTTTTGGTTTAAGGCAGACTCAACTTCGCAGACCGCAGGATAATTCCAGTGAGACCTAAGCAAATATATCGCCAATAATTAACTCGCCTAGCAACACGTAGATCACTATCAGATCGGTGACCGTTGCAAGAGCCTCCTGAACTTGATGCTGATTATTCCACGGTCTATGCCTTCGGTTGAAATGACCTGACATACACGATTGATCCTATGCAGATTTGATACGCCCAGGTGCTTCAATGAGAAATCAAAACTCCAAATGGGTAAATAATACGAATCTGATTGCGCGGCTATCGCGGCTCTTTGCCAGGATTGGGGTCCATATATGTCAAGGAGCAGCGCGGAACTCGGGTCCGCTTACGTTGACCCGAGATGTTCGGACACAACTTAACCCACGGAAAACCAGGGTTTCGATCGGATGGCTCATGCCACCCGCTTCTTATAAATCATGCCGGCAATTTGTAAATGCCAAGACGTCACATTCGCAATTGAAGACATCCAATTTTCGAGGGCCCCTCTCAGCGCGGAGGTCTTCTGTAGTACGGTGTTTGCAGCGTGTGTGGTCCTTGGGAGCACGCAGCTCGCGTATGTACACAGATCCGCTACTCATCGGTCTGACTTTGACATAATAACGCACATGTTCCTCCGTCCCTAGCGACTTATTCAAATGATGAAGATTCCAATGGGAAAGCATCGATTACAGGGATCTTGAGAACTTTCAGTTGGGCTACATGGCGTCTTATGGGCTAAAGCTTTAAGATAGCTTCCTTATAGCCTCCTCATTGAAAGCTCTCGCCTGTTTCCCGTGATTATAAGCCGTAACTTCCCGGCGGGCCTAGGTACTTCACAACCAACTTAAACGTACTCCGCACAGATAACATCCCCGCCGATATCCATCACGTCGCCTACAGTGACGTTGGGAAGCATCTCATACAGGGACAGAACATGGGTCAAAGTTGTGACATTGGCAGGGTCGCCGCTGTAGTCGGTGAAGTTGGCACCTGGCGCTTCCCAGTTGTTCTGAAGGTTGAATGAGTCGGATGGGGTGTTCTGGCCACTAATGTCCGTCAGACGGGCAGTCAAATTCATTGACTGCCATTCCCACCAGAGACGATCCAGGTTGTTGTGGTGCAAGAAGAAAATGGGGTCTCCAGGGGATAAGACAGGATCTTGCATCTGTGGAGCAAGTTAGCAATGCCGAGACCATGGATTTCAATCTCCCAGAAGGTAGTACTTACAACACCACCGGTGCCTGCATGACCAGCTGAGTGGGGAGCCTGTCCTAGGCAGTCCCAATAGTCCTCATATACTTCTGCCTCGTTGCACTCATCCACGCTGGATTGACTTGCCAGCTGAAAGATAGATTCGCTGATAGAACGGTTCAAGTAGTATGTTGCAGCCTTGGGGATGACGGTGTTGAAGGAGTACGCTCCGACGTGGAATTCCGTGTAAGCGAAAGGACCATCCGTCACGACATTGCTCTCGGAGGCATTGCCATCACCGCCAACGCCGTAAACTAAGTCCCACACAACAGACTGAGTGACGTTATCTGCGTCAACTTGCAAGTCCCAATAAGGCATTCCGCCGGTGTAGTTGCAGTAAGTCTGTAAGAGGTACTCATGTAGCTTCACATAGTAGCGATGCCAAGGAAGAAATTGTCCCTTTTTCAGTCAGACTGATAATGCATGCAATACCACCTTGAAGAGACTTACCACTCCATGAATGTAGTTTGACATGGTCAAATGCAAATATTGCTGCTCGTCCCAGAGGGTGGTGGCAGCATCGAACAGCCCAAATACGGCATCGTGGGTCGTGAGACACTTCTCAGCATCAACCCAGGCCAACCTTTCTTCATTCGAGAGAGACGTAAAGTTTTTCCGCTGAACAGGAGAGTCGCAAGTGGCTGCGGTAACGACTGTTCCAAACGCCAAGAAGGCTAGCCGGGATACGACAGGGGTCTTCATAGTGCAGGGAACGAATGACTTGAAGAAGGGAAATATTCAAACGCAACAGCGCAAACACGATAATGACAGTGTAATTGTGAGTACAACAAGTGATGGCGGCAATCTCGATGTGGAAAAATGGCTTTTTTCATGGTTCGCATCACGAGGTTTTATCGCCATTCAAAGACCCCAAGATGCTATTCCGAAATTGGGATGCTCTGCAATGCCCCCTGGTGCGGAAGTCGGTTTCCACATCCCGTTCACGACACGCGTTCAGCCAAGACTGAACTTCGTCAGCGCAGCCCCTTTAACGAGCACGCTTCTTCGTTCTGGATCCATCTCGCAACCGTGTTGCTTGCGTACGTCTATTTTCAGTCATTATGATCTCGGCCGAGATGAGTTATGCAGTGGTCTCGTCCCTGCGGCAATGGCCATTGGCCAATATTGAGATGATAGGCATATCAAGTAAAGTTCACATCTAGCCCAGGCAAAGATGAAAGCTGCAAAATCGTCACAATATCTGCCGGCCGAATACGTTGAGCACGGCAGATTCTCATGGAAGACTTTTCAGATGACGACCATTATTGCCTATCCCTCAAGCTGGAGCAGCTAATGGAATTCTACCGAGCAGGGAGCGAGGACTAGACTCTGCTTCAGCCTCATCCATCTTACGCGAAGGAGTGTGACTCCGCAGGACGCGCAGCCTGTCTTCAAGCCATTGAAATATAAAGTAAAATATCCCCACTTCGATCTCCCTTAACATGGAGGTGATCGACAATGAGGGCTGTCGTGGTATCCTTGCTTGCGGCAGTTCCGCTGGTAGTTATGTGGGGTTGCCGTCCGGTTCTCCGCGGCTCTGCTCTGCTCGAGTCTGGGGCACTAACCCAAGCGACCAGTCACCCATGCATCATCACAGAGGCCTGTGAAGGATAAGTCAAATATGTGATAATGTGAACGAGCGGGCAAAAATGTCAAAACCTGTGACATATTTTATGGCTAGCTCTGTGATTCGGGTTTTGTTTTGAAACTTCACCACCATATCGTCAAAAAAGTTGAATAACGCCGCTGCCCAGCACACACGCGGTTCGGTTCCTCATGAACTGCTGTGCATCAGAAATAAATCAAAGACCTGCTTTTCATTTTAGGCCAAATATTTAGTTTCATCCTCCTTTTCCGACGGAGGGACTATCCGGCACATTGAGTCCAGTCATCTACCATGCCCCCTAGGTGGAGGTTGACCCAGCAAAGACCATTCCCTGTGATAGGTCTCACTGCGACGCCGCCCCTCCACGCACGCTCCAAGGCCGCATTTCTCCCGACTTGGCAGCGATCCTCTCCGGGATGTGGAGTGAAGGTATAGAAACATGTTTCTCTGACTGTGCAGTGGTTCCAACACGAAGAGGCAAGTAGCCGAGCGATTGAGGGTCAAGTATCTCCGATTGCTTGCGACTCGGGGCGCCGATTCAACGTCGAATCTACGTACTCTTTGGAAATGCCGGTCTTGTTGTGTATCATCGAACAAGTTGCGGGTGCTGGATATTATCTTGTTGGGGTTTCAATATCATTCACACGTGCCTGTGAATCTCTGTTGCCTCACAAGCACACGTTGACAACAGAATTCTAGACATCGAGGCGAGGCACTTGCAATGTTCTTTATCGATATAAGATTACGTCCCAGCTTCGCTTGTTAGTGTCAGACACGGTCCACACGGTGGTTCTTCAGCTGACGGAAGACGGTATTTCTTTTGAGAGAAGGTTGAATCGTCGACGTGGAACGAAGAAATCTGCTGGGACTATCTCAAAGGTTACTAAAGGCGGTATTTTTTCCTGAATTGTTCTGTTGTCAATAAACCTTGCGCCAAAAGTAATGAACAAATGGTATTAGTGACTAGGAGCTTTCAGCAGCGGTTATCCCATACCTCTCTCTAGTCCTCCTTATGGTCCTATAGCCTTCTAGGACCTCTAGCTGACCTGTTCCTTCTGGCTGTATTGTTCTGGACCCTGTCCTTTGGTACTTTCCGTGGCTCTCCATGCAGGCATTCCTTGAGCTCGGCCCAAACACCGCCAGATCTCTAATCAGCAACCATGATGGTGAATGGGCAGACGCTGAGCCGCAAGGGTCACCAAACAAGGACGAAAGCTTCCCAGAATACCTTTTGCGTCTTCTTTCTCATTTTATATTATAATACTCACGGCAGACCTTTAGCAACATGTCCTCATCCTGAAATTTAAACGACTTATTATCTATACCAATATTCACATGCCACCAAATCCTTTCGGCCTTTCTTGAACAACTTATGACACAAACAAAAGCCGCACCACTCAACCATGCCAGCTGAGGAATACTTTATTGCGTCGCAATTGAGGCAAGCAAAGATCAAGTCGCGTTCGGCTTTTCGTTTCAGCCGAAGCATCTTCGCTGAATACCTCGTTTACGCCCTACTATTCTATGCGACAACAGCTGTGGTCACCCTCTTCGTTTTTCTTCCCATCGATTACCTTGGCGTCCTCTTACGTGGAGAATCCAGTCGTATCAAACTCGTTAACTTTCAAAATTACGCCTTCGTTCTTCCTTACAACAACTTCAGGTTCACGGCCTTCCCGCTGCGGAGCCGGATTCTTCTTGTCGCACTATGGGCACTTACAGCACGGCCGGCTCTCGCTCTCGCCGGCTGTATCGTCCAGCAGCAGCTGCCCGCCTACACGTACCCCCCTGAAAGGTATCCTCCGATACGTTGGCTTTTCGAAACCGTTTGCTCCCTTGCCAACCGCCACCACGTGGCCATCCCAGATGTAGAACTTTATGCTCGCCAAATTCTTCTCGCGCTGGGCGTACGGGTTAGAGCAAGTTCATATCAGCTAGGCACCATCTCACCGAGGGAGCATCGCAAGCTTCGCAAGTTCCAACGAATGTACGACGAGGTCATGGAGTCCTTTTCGGAGCGATCCAAAGAGCCCGAGCTCCCCGAGCTTTCCTTTCTGCCTTTGAAGCTGGTGGAAGTAGCACACTATAAATGTGCGGACGAGGTTCTCAAGCAAAGTCCCGTTAAGACTACCTTGGAATATCTGGATTGGGAGCAAGTGCGCTTAGATGCCAAGAAATTCACGTCTGTGTATGTGATAACTTTATGTTATTGGGCACTCAGGCCTTTGGGGGATTTCGGGGGTTTTCTAATGCCTTATGCACTTTTCGGGCGAGTAGTATCTTCGGCTCAGGAATGGTATGACAGGCACATAGCACCGACTGCCATACCCAGCCAGCCGAAACAACGAGACCCAAGACGTTGTGGTAGTTGTCTATCATGATTTAGGAAAAATATGGGGAGATCTAGGTTCAAGCAAGATGGGCAGAAACATCGGCGCCCATTTCCATAGATATTTGTTGAATGCATTATCACTTGATCAGCAAAGTAATTGCTGAGGAAGAATATCTGGCCCAAATGGTACCAAGAAGCAGAGAGGTTCGCGTACGTTGAAATAGTGAAAAGGCTCACACAAAGAATGCTTGACGTTCTCTATGAACATGAGGCTAAAGCTTATCATGGATTCGCATTGCTTCAAGACTTGACTGGGTGTTTCCAAGCCATCCAGCTGATCCAGATCTGCACCGCCGAAAGACCAATGCTAATTACGCCGACAATGATAGAGATCAACAGGGCAATAAACGCAACAAGTAACGCATTTCCCTCACTACTTTGCCATTGAACCCAACGTTCCATAGCGTTTCTGGGCGGCCGCTTATCCAGAAGGTCGTGCAAGTCAGCAATTCGTTTAGCCCAGTAAATGTAGCGAAAGTCTTTTGGCAGTGTTTCGCCGTCGTAGCGTGCGCACTCGGGGTCGAATTGGGTATCTCTGTTGGAGATGAGCTTCTTGAGGATTCTCGCCGCTTTCTTGTTGTGAGGTGGGAAGAGTACGGCCTGAATAGAGTGTAGCGTCTCGGCAAGCAACTGGGGAGGGAGTGTTCCTCTCGTTTGGTGTCAGTCATACGAACTAGATGGTGCCTGTCAATTCTCGTTGACTTACTTTTTGAGGCTTTCTTCGACATTCAACCCAAGGTTCTTCTGAATTGGCATGTATAACCCTGCTTGCGTTTTCAAAAGTTTGACATGGTGAAATATGAAGAGCAAGTTCCGCCGACGGTCAAGCAGCAGGTGCTTTGTGAGGTCGTCCGTTGGCTGGAACTTGATTCCAAGCCTTTTCTTGAGCTTCCATGCCTTGAGAGAAGCCTTGAAGTCTTTAGTGACAGTCATCTTCGTCCCTTTATTTCCAGATTCGTTGCCAGATCCAAGCGCACGTTCTACGAAATCAACGAATCGTTCTGCTTGTTGCCAAGACGTGGGCGTATAGCCCCCGAGGTTATAGTCAGCTGCATGTGAGCTCTGTGCCGAGCAGTCCACCATGATAGTACATTGAACAGCCAAATTCAGAACCTTGTCAACCTCTGTACCCAGTACATCAGTGCTATTGACAACTTGATGTCGGACAGCTTGCTGAGCTTCTTCTCTTGTCAGCTCGGGATTGCACTTGAGCAGACTGACAGATTGGAGTAAGTGGTCATGTGTCATTTGTATGGGACGAAAACTTGAGGTCATGGCCACCACCACATCGCCTCCGGTATTGGCCAGTTCATCATATAGTCGAAAGAATGCCCCGAAGTCATGGGCTGAAAGAGTCGACTTCCCAAACAGGCCGCGAACGATATGATCTTTTTCGTTTTCTGCTGGACTTCTCATTGTGATAGAGTCTATCTCTGCTCGTGCGGCTTTGAACAAGACGGAGGCGTGTTCTTTCGCCAGATCATATGGGCGCAGTCTAATATTAGTAGAAAACAGGCGCCGTTTCCCATTGGCTCATCGGGTGCAAAGAATGCCTTGCCTAGGCGTCAGGCCAGTCAGCCTCGATTTGAGGCAGTGTTTGGGGTGCATGCTGCATTCGTGCCTTAGGCTTATCGATCAGGCGCTGTGCCGATATTATCCCCGTCTTATGGTTAGAAATGCCTAAAGTCAGGCCTGCCAGCCCCCTCCTCTTTCTTCCTCGCGTATCTTCTTGCCAGTACACAAGACTCCCCGCCACTTTTTCACCCTCATATACAACAAGCATGCACAATTCAATGGTTGAGACAATCTACCAACTAAGAAGGAAATCGCCTTCGAAATTTCCCAGTGCGGCGGAGTAAGGAAGCAGCCCCAATCTCCGTACTAAGAGCCTCGCGATCTTACCAATACAAACAGGCAAGAAGCATCGACCAAAGATTCTTTCCAACCGAAGCACAGCAAGATACCTCACTTCAGATCTGGAGAACTTAATGAGAGTAGACAAGACGTAGCTAGCTCTGCAGCAGACTTGGGGATGGGTGGGTCTTCAACGATAACCCTCGGAAGCTCCGTCAATAGCGACGAAATAGATGAACATCAGTCTCTCAGTCGTCGAGAAGTCGACTTAAATCGTCGAGGAGAAAATCGAAAAACAGAGGTGGGCCTGAACAGCGACGATGAACGGGCCAAGCTACAAAAAGCCCACGAGACGAAACGCGAAACCAAGAATCCGTCATTGCCAATCCATGGAAAGACACCGTTAGAATTGGAGCCGTCACCAATGCAAATAGCAGAGAATGGCATTCCAATTCCAGACAGCAGAGAGAAAAGCTATTGGCCCTTGGAAGTTCTGCGCCATCCACGACTCTCAGTCAAAGATCTCCATGTCTGCGCTTCAAGAGTTATTGAGACACTGAAAACAGCTGTCGATGGTCATGAAACCTTGCAACACCGTGCTCGATATATTAACTACGGTGTGCACATGGTGGGCTGTACTCCAAAGAATTCTCGGCCGTCTATCCTGTTGTTCTGCCAGGAGAATGACAAGAACCGGCTGAAGAGGCTACTCGACCCGGAATTCCTGGAACGAATCAAGTGCCGTAGCCCATACAGATCAAAAGCTCGTATCCTTTCATGGGCCTCACTACCCGAAAACCCCGACCTTTGGATCTACATCTTCCCTTTCATCACCAACCCAACGAAACGGCTCGCAGGAACAGAACACACGGTCGTCTCTTTGAAGATAATGCAAGCGTCAAGCTTCTGCGGGGCATTAGTCGAGTATCAAGGTAGAGTAGCAACTGTTGGCCTGACGGTAGAGATTGATGGCATTGCTCGTCTTCTTACAGTTGATCACATTTTTGAAGAAGATGCGCCTGAAGAACACTCCGAGTAAGTCTTGTGGCCTTCCTCCATGTTTTTATGTTCAAGCCGTTACTTGGAGCTATTTCGCACGTTTCCGCTGTTTATATGATTTCTGTATTTTGGTGCTAGGTATGCGGACAAAATCTAACATGTAAATTCAGGGAAAAGGACGACGACAACGAGAGTTTGTGGGATTGCGATAGCGTTGACGAAGGCGAAGAAATGTTCTCCATTGCTAGTGATGCTTTGGAATTGAGTCAGAACGATGCTCGCCTTACGCCTGTCTGCAGCTCTCATGAGGATGGAAAAGGATTTGCCTCAGAGTCACGTACATACTGCCAGGCTCTCAATCTAAATGACACCAATACTCACCAACCGGTCCTTGCAGACAAATACGCAGACCAGGGCCCTACAACCGCGACGAGCTTGACAGCCGCTCCAACTGGTCGACAGATTTCTGCGCATAGAATAGACGGCAAACATGAGCTGCCGCATCGTCACGCTTATCTCGACTGGGCATGTCTTGAATTGAACGAGGAAAAAATGGAGAGATACTCAAAGAGCTGCATTTCGACAGATCCAGACAAGGCTCCGGTCCTGCTCGAAGAGATTGGAGACGCATCAACCTCACACGCAACTTCTGTTTTGATGATTTCCGGGATAAAAGGAATCAGGTCTGGTAAATTAATAGCTGATGCAGGCTACTTGGGATCCCTGCGTCGGCAAGACATGTGCGTCGTGTGGACTCTGATCTTGGATTCTGCGCCAGGTAAATCAGTCCTTGGAAATGCCATGGTACACTGCTATGACTCCCCGTGCTAACGTGACGGTAGGGCTTGTTCCCGGCGAATGTGGCGCCGTTGTCGTTGACAAGGAGACGTACAAGATCTACGGACACGTCGTAGGCGCAAACGTGTTGGGTCATGCTTATGTGGTTCCCTTCCGAGGAGTTCTTGACCAGATTAAGACTGCTTTCGGTACAGATCTTGTCCATTTCCCGTGCAGATCATTGGCTACCTGGAAGTTATGGCCGGATGAAGATCTTTTGTCTCGTCGCAAAGACAAGAAGAGCAGCTGGATAGCCGTTGGGCCTGATACAGTCTCGGTTCCTTCGAAACGGTCTGCGGCGAACGCATCTGCTCGTGAGTCTGATCCGTACAAACGGTCAACCTACTCTAGCGCAGGAAGCTTTTATGGCAGGTAAGAAGGTGCCTTGTCCAATCTGGGGGCGACAAGCTAATGATGCTCAGTGGCACGTCTTATGCCAAACCAAGATACGTAGCAGAGTCTCGGAAAAAGAGAGAATACGCCATGGGACACACTGGTGTGGCCCCTCCAGACCCCCGACGACCAGCCCATGACCGGGCGATGCAAGCCGCCTCAAACTTGCCTAGTCGTACGCTACAAGCGTCTTCCAGGCCAGTGGCCTATCCCATGCCATTAGACATGGATGGCCCCGATGATGAGAGTTACCGCGGTAGTTCGAATCATGGTCACGACGGCCCCAAGAGCGGCGGCAAGGGATCCTCCTCAGATCACAGTAGTAGCACTTCGGCATACAATCCCCATAGCAGTGGTGGCCAGCAATCTTCGTCGTACTCCACCTCAACGAGCGACGACCAAGGAGTCTCCTCGTACTATGGCTCTTACAGTCACCGGTAGTCAACTATACTTTGGTTGACGGTCAACCCCTTCTTTGCTTCGTTCTGTAAGCAAACTTCCCCAGAGGACCTATTCCGGTTCTTGCTTACGTCGACTGAACTAGCATGTATTCGAACACTTGCTCAACAGCATGTTGTATTTGATACGTACTTGGCGTACGACTATTTTCATCACATCCTTTCTGCTGCACTACACAGCAACGGCTATGCATTCCTTCCAGACAATCTGCCTCGAAAGGGGACGTATTTCTTCGAAACATTCCAGAAATAATTACCTCGGAAGCAATAGCGTAGGATGGTCTATATACAAAATCAATGGGTAGGCGAATATGAGACGTTGGAGGAAATCAACCAGAAGTGGGGTTTTGGAATGACGGTTTGAGGGTCAGGGGGCCTGTTTATATATGGATGAGACTGCTTTCTTTCGCCGCCACCTATCCAGCTCTCAACAGACTTGATTCTCTGTTATGGACAAGCCTTGAGCCTTGTGATATCCGAGAGATATTGGGAAACACATGTGACCGTCTCACGCAAGGCGTTGAACCGAGGCAACAAAAGAGTACACACCGTTGAGTCGCCCCGCGAAACGTCGCGTCCATACGGCGGACGAACAACGAATATGGTGATATCTGTTGAATGCATTAGCACTGGAACAGCAAGCTAGTTACTCCACATACGCTGATACTGTCCCTATCGTCCTCGTCGTCCTCGTCGTCCCTGACGTACCTTGAGTAAGACCAATCAGTGACCCAAGCTCAGGTACTTGTTCGCAAATCAAAATTCATACAAATAAGGCCAAGATAATGAAGTCTGTATTACTTCACGGATCTAAAATGAGTCAAATCTATACAAGGCACCCTCTGATACACATCAAGCGTCAATGCGCTCCTCAAATTACTGACTCTTCACCTTTCTAAGGGGAGCAGTGACCGAGAACGAGACGATGCTATACTCCTTTCTCTCAGCATTCCTCTCCGCCTCCTGTTTGTCCGCCAACTTCTTCTCCTCGGCGGCCTTCTCCTCCTCAATCTTTCGCTTCGCTTCCTCCTCGGCCTTGCGCTTCTTCTCATCCTTCTTGTCGTCCTTGATCTCCTTGAGGACGTTACCGTTGCCGTCGAGCTCAACGACAACGTCCCGTGTGTCGAGACTGCCATCCTCGGTGTACATCCACATCTCCTTGAGTTCGCCGCGAACCAATCCCGTGAGCCAGAGTGAGCCAAGGACGCCTGGGACGAGGTACAGCAGGGCGGGTTGACCGTGCTTGAAGATGGTCAACATGGCGAGGGTGAAGAGCATGCCGAGGGCGTAGCCGATCAAGGAAGCGTTGAAGTAAGTCTTGTTGAAGGTTGAACCGCGGACAGTCGGCGCGGCCTCCTTGTCACCCTTGAAAAGGCCACTCCACGAGGAAGACCAGAACCAGTCGCCCCAGCAGCCAGTGATGTCGATCCAGGGGGCCTTCTGAGCAACGTGCTGAGTCTCGCTGACGGTGACGACGTCGCCAGACTTGGTGTCCTGCTTGTGCGACTTCAAATCGGTCGGGACGTACTTGATCTGGCGCTGATAGTGCATCCACATATCAAAGCGCAGCGCCAGGCACATCACCATGCCGGGGACGACAATGTCACCGAGGCCGAGAATGCTTGATCTAGAAGCGGACTGGAATTGGAGCTTGATGGGGACATCGAGCTTGGTGGCGACAGTAATCATGTAGGGCCTGTTGGCTGTCAGCAGATGTTGGACGCAAATCAAAGCCTGGAGTAACTTACGTGTAGAACACCATGACAATGTCGTAGAAGAAGAGGCCCATCAAGACCAAGCTGCCAGTGCCAAATGTCGTCGGCGACATGATTAGAGCCGTGCCATAGCAGAAACCGTATCCCATGATGTTGGAGAGAAAAGGGGATCCGGTCATGTAGTACGCCGATACCGTGCCGAAAGCCAGGAAGAAACCGAAAATGTGCGTGACGGACAGGTGGAATTTCTCCCTAAACAAGCCATGCACCTTGGCCTTGACGGTCCATTCGTCGATCAGAAGATGGCGGACATCCCAAAGGAGGCGGTTAACCTTTGCTGTGACGGGGAAGATCTTGCGCAGAACGGACGGCAGGGGGTTGCCGGTCGTCATAACCTCCGTCTCTTCGCCGTCATTGCCGTTCGTCTTGACGTATGTCTCCCGGTCATCGTCAACCCGGCACAATACGCCCTTCTCTCGAACCCAGTTCGGAAACACAAAACCCGAGCCAACTCTCAACGCATGCGCCATCAGAGTCGTGAGACTTGCCACACCCGCAACGGACATGTACACGCGCAAGATCTTGTTGAGGATAGCCGGGTCTTGGAGCCACTGGATGAGGTAGTAGAGTCCGATCAACATAGCGCCCGCCAACAGAGGAAAGACAATGGCGTCAGAGGGCATCAATCCCTCCGTAATGGGCTCGTCCTCCTTGCGGTCAGCCTTCTCGCCCTTCTTCCGCTTCGGAGGAGCTGCGGACGGAGGACGGCGGAGAGCACCGTGCGCGCCGACGTAGATGATGGCAAGGGCGGAAAAGATGAGTTTTCCTTCCATCGTGAGGAGGCTGGCGACCCTGGCGAGATCCCATTCTGGTGATGCGCCGGCTGTGGCGTTGCTGGCACCGGTGATGTTGGTGAGGTTCTGGGAGATTTCGTCGAATGGCGGGGTCACCGGACTGGGAACCGCTGATGAAGCCATGGCGCCGGCCAGACGAATGGGGTCCTAGGTTGCGATAACTCGGGGCGGTCGCAGACAAATATGAGAGACTTCGTAGTTGGAAGCTGCTGAGATGCTGTTGACGGCCTGAATAAGCACGCTCGTGATGTTGCGTGTACGTGATGAAGCTGATAGAGATCTGGATGTGGCAAGTGTAGTTGGTAGGAAGGTACGATGACGCCTGATTCTTGAGTCCGGAAACTGGTCCCAAAGTCTCTCTTTTAAGCTTCTCTGAAGCTATCTTGTTCGTGAATGAAATTTGCTGCAGAAGATGTGAGAAGACACCTTGCAGCTCTGGGTATCGCGCGCACAATAGAAGTTGTCTTGAACAGCGTGTTACCAATAATGCGAAAGTTGGAACCTTGTTAAAAGGCTCGAAGCGGGAAAGGATACGCCACACCGGTACCAGAGACACCTTGCCGGACGCGGTCCTTCTGGGTAAAGAGACAGCCGGACTTCCACAGAGAAAGATCCGTTTTGGAGGCTGCGAGGGATGGACGAGCGTTGCAACTTGCAGAAACAGAAGCGATGGAAGTCACTTGCCAAAGATGCGCTTAGCCTCACACTCAAACAGCTCGGCAGGCAGGCACAGCCAGCAAATGATGCAGGATCTGGCCAGAAACCAGCGCGCCGCAAGGTACCACGACAGGGACCCGGGGCCCATCTCCACAGCGGCCCAGATCCCGCTAACCTGACCTGCGCGACCAATCACGCACCGTAACTGCCTTATTTTTCTTCGACGGCAGGCGGGTGGCTGGCTCAAGCTCCCCACCATCGTCCCAACTCAATCGCTGCTGCTTGCTTGCTTTCACCGCGTCGCGGGCCGCTACATCGCAGCCTCGTCCAAAATACCGACAACCCCTCCATCGCGAATTCCCACCTCCTAGCTCGGACGCCCACAAGTCGCGACAGCGCAAAGGAGCCAAAATGACGACCAACGTGTCCCTCGAAACCTCAATGGTACATCCACTCCCTCTCACCCCCCAAGCGCAAACCCGCAGAGCTAACCGAAACCCCCAAACGGCAGGGCACCATCATCCTCGAGCTCTACACCTCCCACGCCCCCAAGACCTGCACGAACTTCGCCACCCTCGCCAAGCGCGGCTACTACAACTCGACCATCATCCACCGCATCATCCCCAACTTCATGGTCCAGGCCGGCGACCCCACCGGCACCGGCCGCGGCGGCACCTCCATCTACGGCGAAAAGTTCGCCGACGAGATCCACCCGGGCCTCAAGCACACCGGCGCCGGCGTCCTCTCCATGGCCAACGCCGGCCCCGACACCAACGGCTCCCAGTTCTTCATCACCCTCGCCCCGACCCCCTGGCTCGACGGCAAGCACACCATCTTCGGCCGCGTCAAGAGCGGCCTGAGCGTCGTCAAGAGGATGGGCCTCGTCAAGACGGGCCCCGAGGACAGGCCGCTGCAGGAGGTCAAGATCGTGCGGGCAAGTGTCGTTGAGGAGAGTGAGCCGGAGGAGTGATAAAGGAAGACGCGCGGGGAGCGAGACAGATACTGAGATACCTTTGGAGAAACGGGCGTTCATGGCGTTGGCGGTTGCAAATCTAGACTGCTTCAGGCGCCTGAGGATATAAAAAGCATCGTGACACACGTTAGGCAGCATAGAATGGGTAGCAAACAAGATTTCCTGCTCTTATTGAATAAAAGAAGAAAAAAAGAGAGGGATACCACAAACGACGACAAAATAAAGTCAAAATGACAAAACGAGCGACCCAGCGCATTAGACCCAAGGGCAGACGGTAAATTCGAAGGATTGAAGTCCCACGCTTGGAAGGCCGTGTAGCCTCAGAAGGAAGTCGAACAACCGTTCGACCACCAACCTCAACAGTAACAGCAAGGCATTGTGTAACTCATAAGCCTTCCTGCCGCCTTGCGCTGTGAGGCAGGACCGGCCCTTTTAAGCTGCTCCTTCCTCACTGCGTCAAAGAGCACTCGGCACCGTCACTTGGTTATCCACACGCAGCAGATATTGGGCAGCTCAATCTGATTTCACCATTCACCAAATGATTCACAGAAAAGGGGATGAAGACGGCATTACACCTCAGTGTCTTCTCCAATGGAAGTCCTGAGCATATTTTGACCCATCTAGGGTATTGTCTCAATCCCTGGAAGCTGCGATGCAGGATGTTGCCGACTGGTTAGCGTGTTTCTTCGATCATCTACAGACATTTCTAGAAGCGGCTGCTCCCTTTTTGTACCAAGTCATCACATCCATCAATAGACTCAAGTTACGCGTAACCAATGGGGAATCAATATCATTGAGTCAATGCCTATAAAATAACCGCAGTCTCTCTAACGCCGTCATCCGCCTTGCCAGGTGATGCAGAAGAATTGTATGGGATAAGCCACCCCCACTCCTACCCAACGAACTCCCAGTTCATGCAATGTTGTTGAGTGTGAAGGTGTGTGTGTGTATCAAGAGCGTCTGTTGTACTGCGGTGCCAATCTTTGTTTGAATACAAGATGATGTGTCGGTCTGGAACCCGCCGGTTGATCAGTTCGCTGATCTGCTTTTGGCTCCGGTGTTTCCAATGTTCCGGGACGAGCGATGTCTTGTTTCTAGTTTGATACTGAACCAGGCCGGGCATGTTGAAGAGAATAAAGGGATAATGTAGATGTTAAATGGTTGTTACGAGCAGCGTCTCTTCTTGGACTGGTCGTTGATCTTGTCTGGGGGTCTCTTTTGACCCTTGGTAGCAGATTCTTCGAACGTTCTCTTCGATATCTTATTGGTGTTCGAAATAGACGGTGATGAAGCAGGTCCGGGCGAAGGTGTCGGCGGCAGATGGCGTTTACCGGAACCAGTGGGAGGATTGCTTCTTGGAACAGACTGAGGCCCAGGTTCCGATCCGGTGGCAAAGCCAGAGCTTTGCTGGAAGCCTGAGCCGGAGCCGGAGCTGGGGGTTTTCAGCGCTCCGCGGCCAGTTGTGCCTCTAGTTTGGCGGCGACGACAACGTGCCGGACGATTCGGACTCTGCATCTTCGGTTCTACCATTGCCATTCTTCGACAGCGGCGACGATAAGGGCGGCTTCGCGGCGCCAAGCTTCAACTTCTTAGCCGGGCTGATGCCTTTGCCCTCCTTAGACTCCTTCTTCTCCTTCTTAGGGGCGACCTCGACAGTGGAATTGTCATCGTCGTCTCCCACCTTCGATTCGTGGCTCAGCAGTGAGTTGGTCTTGACCTTGTCTTTCTTTGGGCCCTTAGTCTTGAGAATCACCTTCTTCGTCATGACCGTTGGCTTCATCTTCTTCTTCTTATGGCTGTTTTCCGATTCCTCCTCTTCCTCCGGTGCCGCCACTTCCTCACTGTCGCGCTTCTTTGGGCTCGAGGCTCGTGATGCAGGCGCTGGTGTCGCCTTCTGGCTCGATGGGGGTGTTCCGTCGTTCTGGCTTGCGCCGTTACTGCCGTTTGAAATCTTGGCTGCCGCAGCGCGACTCGCGTTACGGCCGCTGTTGCCGATACACGATCCCATGTGGTTGTTGAGTCTCGTGACGAGAATGCATCGCTTGCACTTGCTGCATGTGGCTGACGGGAACGAAAGCACATTAGCAGGGCGCCCTTCTCCGGGGGCGGGAGACTCGATGTTCGGGTCGGGCTTCATGTCCTTCTTCTTCTTGCCTCTTCCAGGGCCCGGCTGAACCCAGGTCTGCCCGTAGATGTCGTAGCCAGGCTTGTCGATGTAAGGGTGTTTCTTGCAGTAGATGACGCTCGGATCAGGCTTTCTCGCCCCCTTGCCGTCGGTCGGATAGAGCAATCGAGGCAGGTGGCATCTCGGGCAGAGAATCTCGGTCGTTGTCTTCAAGGGATTGCCTTTGAGCATCACCTTACCGTCTTCGTAGATCGCCGCATCGGTTTCGATCCGCACATCGGGTTTCGAGTCAGGTGTCGAGCTTTCTGATGCATCGGAAGCCAGCTTCTCGACACGGATCGCGGCCGTGGTGGCCCTCGCCATTTTCTCGTCGCGGTGCACCTTGAGCAGGAGGTCGTGAACGATATTGTACATTAAGTCGTCGAGCACCGAATGAGCCTTCGCGCCGGAAATGTCAGCATCATGTCATCCCACCGGCGGCATGTCGCGGCGGTGTTAATTTGCGATCGAGATGGCTGGGTGCACCATCCGCCAAGTTCAAGGCAGGGCGAGCACTTACAAGATTCTCCATGCTGCCAGCATCGTCGGGAGCGACGATTACTCCAGCCTTGCCCGTGTTGGAAGCCATCTCTCCAAGGGCCGGTCGGACGGCGCACAAAGGCTGAGGGGAGAAATTGGGGGTGGTGATGGCAGCCTCAGAGGGCGAAGCTTTGTGGTCGTGTGTGCAGGTTTGTGGAATCTGAATCGGGTTGACGGGTAACTAAAATAGGTGCCACACGGGCTGACGAGGGGGCAGCGGTAGCAGTGTGAGATGAGGTCAAGCTGGAAGAGTTGGCGGCCAAAAAAAAAAGTTTCGGAACCTTGCTTGCTGAAGTAATAAGGGTGCAACGCCGCGGGTTTGCAAGGAGGTGGTATGTATCGGCGATAATTATTAGCAGCGGCAGGCGACCAGCGACTGACTTGACAATTGGGAAGCACGAGCCTCGTGTCGACCGCTCAGCTAATAAGGCGACTTTTGGTCGTTCGTCTTTGCGGACAAGGATCCTAATCCGAATCAGGCACTTGTACGGTTAGGGATCTGAACGGTTGTCGCCGGTCCGGAGAAGTTGTTGAGTGGAAGAGACTTGGGGAAACCGGAGCGGAGGGAAGATTTGATGATGTGAAAATAGCAAAATGGAAGGTCAAGAAATGGGCAGTTTTTCCGGAGCAGAAATTGCCAAGCCAAGGGAACAGGACGGAGGAGAGCAAGGCAGGCGGAATTGAAGGTACAAACGGGGAACTGCCCGAACGCAACTTCCCAGAACTGTCGACATTTGATTGATCTAAGCGGTCCACTGGGCAGCAGCTTTACAAGAGCTCAAACCACTTCTTGTCCACCAACTGCTATTGCAAGGTCCCTTAACCTTGAGCTACCTCAACTACCTTTACCCAAGGTGCGTTGCAAGCATCCATCATTGGCTTTCCGATGTGCTCTTTGATGCGGAAGGGCGCCGCATCACTCTCGACTGCAACTGCCCGAACGAAGACACCAAGAGCGCCTTAGCTGCATCTCGTCGTAAGATGACCACCTCATCCGTTCAGAGTTGCATCGGGCCAGCTTCAACTCCAAGTCATGGGTTAGTTGAAGTGGCTGCAGAAACAACATGATACCCGCCCCGGGCCATCGGATTCGGTCTGCGAACTCAGGCCCATCAGCGTATGCATGTGCCTGAGTTAGCTCCCCTGTTAGGGACTTGACCCCAGGCCAACCTCGCGCCTCACGATAACACCCCGGGCGGCAGAAACCATAGAGCATCGGTTTCTCGGAGAAAGTCTTGACCGCCCGTGCAGCACGTAATCCGCCGCACTGCATCATCCATCACCAGCAGAAAGCCTCCTTGTCCGTCCAAAGTAAGGGGGCTCAACAACCAGCCTCACTTGTCAACGGCCTGGAGCTTGGGGCGCTGACTTGCTCCGGGAGTGGACACATTTCTGTTGGCTGGCACTAAACCAAAACCCTTGTGTTAGCGACAACGAGCTGGACCATTCCATCTTTCTCCCCTGCCGGCCCAGTCCTCCCGAATCTGGGATCTCTGATGAACTGAGGAGTGTCGACCTGAGGCAAGTGCCATTGAGTCGGTCAGGTGGGGCCGGTTGCCGTCGGCTCCTTCCCTGCATCAGCGCATCTCATTCTGCGGCGCTCGACTCCTTCCCTCACTGGAAATTATTGGCTTTAGGAGGCACCCGTGGTTAGAGCACCTGTCTCTGAACCTTCCCGCCATCGTCACAAGGGTCACCACCACCACCCTCAGGTTCCCCGGCCTGTCCAACCAGCGCCCGCCCCTTCCCGCAAGGGCCTGGCCTGGGCTCCGTCGCAACCATTCAGAATTCAGAGACATTCCAACTGCGTCCCGAAACTTCGTCCTTTTTTTCCACACTCGCATCTCTCCTTTGGGACGCTGATCGTCGCCCTCGCCGGATACATCGACATCCTCTTCACTCCGCACCCAAATAATCACCACCTTTGGCCGCTCGCGTGTAAATAGTGCGCATCTGAATTTGAATTTACGTCAACCCCCATCATAGACACATCTGGCTAGAAGCCACCAATCTCTCGCATCCTCAACGACCCTTGGACCCTGAATCTTCTTCTCGCCCCGAGCATATAATTACACCAACATACGAACTCCCCAAAATCGAAAGCCACCATGTCTCTCCCCCAGACGAAGCCAACCCAATCTTCCATAAAATCCTTCTTCCAACCCCGCCAACAACCGTCTTACGCACCTCCTCCGTCATCAACCAAGTTCACCCCGGCACCCGCAGCTCCTCCTCCAGCTGCAGCTGCCCCTCCCCCTGCAACGCAAACCCCCACCTCGACAGCAACGACACCATCACCACCACCTCTTGCGACAGCTTCGTCCGTCCACCCGTCCGCACAGATCCGCCCCGTCACCCCGACAGACATCCAAGCTCTCCGCCGCATAAACTCCTTGCTGCTCCCCGTCGCCTACCCAGAGCAATTCTACGCCGGCGCCCTCCAAGGCCCCTTCTCCCGCGTAATAACCTGGTCCGACACTTCCTCCTCCTCCACGACCACCCAAGTAATTGGCGGCGTCGTCTCCCGAGTCGAACCCTCCCCCTTCCCGCCGACAACAATCTCCTCGGAGCCCGAACACGCCCTCTATATCCAGTCCCTAGCCCTCCTCTCCCCCTACCGCTCCCACGGCCTCGCGACCGCAACGCTCGACAACATCATTGCCGCCGCCTCCTCCGTCCCGGGCGTCAACCTCCGCCACGTCTACGCACACGTCTGGACAGACAACGACGAGGGCATAAAGTGGTACACCTCGCGCGGCTTCGAACAGTTCGGCGACGAACTCAGGGGCTACTACATCAAGCTCCGCCCAGACTCGGCTTACATCGTCCGCCGCTCCATCGGACCGCTGTCTCTGTCTTCCAGCAGTCACCGCCACAACCAAACCTCAGCAATGGCTGCCTCGATCTCCGCCGGCCCTACCGCCGCCGTCGCGAACCTCCCTCCGATGAACACGCGCGTAGCGGCAGGCGCGAATGGCGATACGGATAGGCCCCTGATGACGCCGTCGGGCCAATCGTTCCAGAACCGACGCGCCGAGACGGAGTGGAACGACCTGCCGGCCGACATGGCGCCGCCCATGCTCGCGCCGCCGCGAAGCAACAGCGCCTCCGGTGCGAGCTCGCGAAGCAGTTCGGCGGCGAGGAAGAAGAAGGATCGCGCGTACCCGGCCGCTGCTTTCCAAAATTAGAACTCAAGGATTTGGAAAGGATTAATTGATGGGCTAAAGTTGATAAGAATAGATGGAAACCTTGCGAGATGGCGTTGGGACTGGATCAAATCATTTAGCAGGATCACTCCAGACACTTTGTGCTAAGCATCACCATAGACCAAGAAGGAAATAGAGACCACAAAAAAAGGATGCCAAAAAGATGTTTCTTCTTTGTCCAGAAGGAGCCAATGTACAACTTTGACAAGTAGTAGAACAACAAAACAGAAAATTCGAAGTTTGCTCTTCCCAACTCCATGACCCCAGCTTCGAATGTGGAAAAATTCGAACGTCCAAAAAATATTTTGAAAAAAAGAATCAAGAACAACATGCTGAAAATGCTTGCCCAGCCAGGGTGGTGGTGGGTGGTCTCTGCTTTTTTGTCACCCCTTCCCTTGTTCCCAAATGCTTTGCCTCCGCCCGCCGTCATTCTTCCCTTTCTTTTCACACGTACACACATTCATGACAGTTCATCCCATCATCCACACTCATTGACGGTTATAACGAGACCACCACAGGGCCCCAATGGCTGCAACACCCACCGCGCCGCCGATGGCCAGTGTTGTGTTGGAAATTGCGGGCTCCTCGCCTAGAAGGAAGCACAGAGAGGTTAGTTTGAGGGAACAACAATGGGGATGGTATCGGCGTTTTCGCAGTGCTCCGTGACCGGTGCAAGACACTTACGTGGTGTTGGGATGGTATCGAGCTCGCGCTTGACGTTCTGTCTGAACTCCGTCAAGACGTCCGAGTCCTTCTCCATGCCAGCCGCCACGAGGGCAATTAGTGCAGCGCCAACGCCGCTGCCATCCTTGGCAATGCCAATACGAATCTTCTCAGCACCCTTAGCTCCAATGCTGTCGATCGCGCGCAGGGCCTCGTAGATCATGTCGCGGAAGAAGGGGTAGTGCTCGACCAAGCTACCGTCGACACCAATATCAATGACCTCCTCGTTGGGGTCGTCAAGCTTGCCGGACTGGATGACGATGCCAGCGATGGCGACAGCGGAGAGACGGGCAGCGCGGCGGCCAACGGCACCAGCGACAGCCTTGAAGGCCTGGGCGTCCTCGAGGGAGGGGCTGTACACGTGGAGGACCGACTCGAGCTCTTGGCGGAGAGTGGAGAGCTCCGGGGTGTTGTCGGCGGCAGCAACAGACATGATGGCGCTGTCGAGACCCCACTGCTTGAACATGCCGGACTGGGGGCTGATGTCGGTGGTAGACTTCCAGTCGTTGAAGCTCGAGTTGGCGTCCTTGAAGAGGGACAGCTTCTCGTCCTTGAGCATGTCAAGGATGGTCAGTCTGACGATCTCACCCAAGAACATGCCGGACACGCGCTTCTCGAACATTTGGATACCGGGGTTTACACTGTCCTTGTCAAGCTGGGCGTCCCAAGGGGTGTTGGGAAGAATGTTGAGCTGGTTGTCGAAGGAGCCCCACTCAACGTTGACGACCATTTCGCCGGTGGCAGCCTCGTAGTCGCCAACAATGGGCTTCTTGATGTTGGACAGCTTCTCGAGGTAAGCGCCGTTGGTGCCGGTGCCGAAGATGGCGCCGAGGATCGAGCCAGACTTGCCGGTGGACGTGTAGGATCTCGCCATAAGAGTTCCGACGGTGTCGTTGACGAGAGCGGCAACGCGCACGGGAAGGTGCAGCTTGTCGATCTCGGTCTGCAGCAGGGCGCAGACGTCCTTGCCGACGGCATCGGGGATGTCGAAGCCCTTGGTCCAGCGAATCAGGTTGCCCTTGTTGATACCGAGCTGCTGGACGGGGAAGGAGAAGGTAAAGCCGAGGCGGAAGACATGCTCGTCACGGTAGCCCTCGGGGGCGCTGTAGGTCTGACGACG